ACCAATGTGAAGATGTTGTCATCCTGGAGGTCCACATTAACACACATGTGCTAGCTAGATGTTGTTTCATCCTGGAGGTCACATTAATCACCACATGTGCTAAGTGTTAGTTCATTCCTGAACGTCACATTAACACACATGTGCTAGGTGTTGTTCATCCTGGAGGTCACATTAACACTCATGTGCTAAGTGCTGTTCATCGTGGAGGTCACATTAACACACATGTGCTAAGTGCTGTTCATCCTGGAGGTCACATTAACACACATGTGCTAGGATGTTGTTCATCCTGAAGGTCACATTAACACACCAATTGTGTTAAGTGCCTGTTCATCCTGGAGGTCACATTAACACACATGTGCTAGATGTTGTTCATCCTGGAGGTCTCATTAACACCGCATGTGCTCGATGTTGTTATCTGCGAGGTCAAATTAAACAATATGCTAAGTGCTCTTCATCCTGGAGGTCACATTAACACACATGTGCTAGATGTTGTTCATCCTGGAGGTCACATTAACACACATGTGCTAAGTGTTGTTCATCCTGGAGGTGACATTAACACACATGTGCTGGATGTTGTTCATCCTGAAGGTCACATTAACACACATGTGCTAGATGTTGTTCATCCTGGAGGTCACATTAACACACATGTGCTAGATGTTGTTCATCCTGGAGGTCACATTAACACCAATTGTACTAGCTGTTGTTCAGCCTGGAGGGTACAATTAACAACACGTGTGGATGTTGTTTCATCCTGAAGGGTCACAATTAACACCACATTGGTGCTAAGTGCTGTTCATCCTGGGAGGTCACATGCTTCACATGTGCTAATTGTTGTTCATCCTGGAGGTCACATTAACACACCTGAATAGATGTTGTAATCTGGAGGTCACATAAACACCACATGTGCTAGATGTTGTTCACCTGAAGAGGTTCACATTTAACAACATGTGTAGATGTGGTTCATCCTGGAGGTCTCACATTAACACACCAATGTGCTAGTTGTTGTTCATCCCTGGAGGTCACTTAACACACATGTGCTTGTGTTGTTCATCTGAAGGTCACATTAACACAATGTGTATGTGTTGTTCATCTGCGAGGTCACATTAGCACGCATGTGCTAAAGTGTTGGTTATCCTGGAGGTCACATTAACACTCATTGCTAAGTGTTGTTCATCCTGGAGGTCCATATCACACATTGTGCTAGGATGGTCTGATCATCCTGGCGCTCACATTAAAACATTGCTAAGTGCTGTTCTTCCTGAGGTCCACATAACACAATGTGCTAGATGTTGTTGTTCCTGGAGGTCACATTAACACACATGTGCTAGAGGTTTGCTTCATTTCTTGATTGGTCACATTAAACAACTGTGCTAGATGTTTCATTCTTGAGGTCACATTACCACACATGTGCTAAGGTGCTGTTCATTGGAGGTCACATTAACACCACAGTGCTAAGTGTTGTTTCAAATGGAAGGTCACCATTAACACACTGTGCTAAGTGCTGTTCATCCTGGGGTCACCTTAACATCATTGTGGTAAGTGTTGTTCATCCTGGAGGGGTCACATTAACACACATGTGCAAAGTGCTGTTAAACCTGGAGGTACATTCAACAAATGTGCTAGATGTTGTTTTATTACTGGAGGTCATTAACCCACACATGTGCTTAGAGAGTTTGTTCATTCTTGAGGTCAATTAACACACACCATGTGTAGAGATAGATGTTGTTCATCCTGGAGGTCACATTAACACTCATGTGCTAAGTGCTGTTCATCCTGGAGGTCACATTAACACACATGTGCTAAGTGCTGTTCATCCTGGAGGTCACATTAACACACATGTGCTAAGTGCTGTTCATCCTGGAGGTCACTAACACACATATGCTAGTGTCTGTTCATCCTGGGACCGTTCAATTATACCTCCGTGGGTCGGCGGGTAAGTCCATCAACATACAATATATTTTATTACAGTGTTTTTGTTTTCTGATCTATTTTTTCCCGCTGTTTTTCTTCGTCGGTGTTCTGTTCGTTCAGTGTTTTTTTTTTAAAGTATATTGTGTTTTCAGTGTTTTTTCCCTGGTGTGTTGTTTAGCATACTTGCTGACGTCTGGTGGTTCTCAGATCGTGATCAGATTCCAGTGAAGATGTTGAATTGTGATGACTAGAAGATGGTCCCCAGTACAACTTTATCCGTGGTCTGTATACACGATGGTCTGTATACACGATGGTCTGTATACACGAATTTGAGTCGACGCAAATGGCGCCGACCCCTGTTTTTGCGGGCACGTCTCTGAGTGTTACAGTAACCTTTATGGATTCACAGTGTGGATTTTCTGTAGGTTGAAAATAAGTATCTCTACTGTCTCGTACGTAAGTACAGTTGGTGAATCTCCCTTCATAGTCTAGTACATACTCCTTGTTGGGTGGTGTTGGTGGATTTAAAAAAAAAAACCAAAAAACCCAAAAAAAAAACTTTAAAAATTTTAAAAACCCTTAATAAAAA